AAGTTTTAGGTTCATAATGCGTCTGTTGCACTTCGAAACAACAATTGCTCTATTGTGTCACCGAAAAGTTCATTACACTATTGCCATTTTATTAATTTATAATATATAATACTTGTTTCTCTCTCTAATTGATTATTTCGAAAAAAATCGAACGAAAACGCGGTATTGGTAAGAAACAATTTTCATGACTGCGAAACATTCGTCAATGGACCTAAATACAAGAGATTGGCAGCCTTACAAATATAGCTAACATAGATACAGAGAACAATACGCAGAAATCCTAAAAAAATATGTAATTGTGTTTATCAAAAGCTAATTAAACAATATAGTATTATGTTATATGATCATCAATATTCGAAATTAAATTGTGTTTTACATACATACTTAAACATTTTAAAAATCGAGTGTTTTCATTTGGGAAAGATCAGTTATAGCGATTTATATTTTATACATACATATTGCAGTAAAAAGTTTTTAAAACAAATCATTTTCAAAATTTACTACATCATCATGGATGTTAATATTAATATGTAATTTAAATTAAGAACTTCCAAGTAATTAATTTAAATACAAAGAACCTTAAATAATGAAAAATTAAAAAAGGAGTTTTTTCTAGTAATAATAGGATGAAAGTTTATTAGCAAAAGCTTATCAGTTTATAATGTATAGAATGATAATATATATTATTTATTTATTTCTATTTGAGCCAGTGCACTTGAGAATTTCTACTCTTTCTGAACTCGAGATATTTTTAAAATCCCTCTTTATGAGTTTTGATTTATATCTTTTTAATTACTGGTCATCAATTTTTTCGTAAATAAACAAGATTTGCTTTATATACATATATATAATATATATGGATATAGTGTAAATATGGATAAAAATATTAAATAATTTCATACAAAAATTATAATTATATCCTAACCAACGATTTCATTTTTTTTTTTATAACACAATATAAGTTTATTTGGAATAAACAATAATAAATATAAAAAACAAAAAGAATCATAAACAAAATAAATACAAAATATTTTAAATACAAAATATTTAAAATACAATATATTTCAAAATACGGAATATTTCTATAGAAAAAATTTTCAACTAAACTACTCGGTTTTAATATATCAGTTAAAAAATATGTGTCACGACTTTTAGGCATTGGGGAAAGATTTCTAACATGAGCTCATATATTGCTGTATTATTGAGAGACAGTCGAATATACCATTTCTATTTGTTTTATTATATCAAAGTATTATTAATATTAAAAAAAAACAATTATACATTATGATCTATTAGATCTTTATCCTATCGTGTCCAAAAGCTATATTAAAACTCATTTTATATTTAATATGATCTACATATTCAAATCTCTATATCAAATTCGGTTTAATGAAAGTTAGTACTGTAAATATTTCCTGACAATCGTAGGACATAAACAGATAACAGTGGGTAACAGTGGATAGGTCAACCGTAAAACATGAGCAGTTAAAATGGGTACAATAGTTTGGTATACTTTGCATTTCATAAAATCTACAGGTGTAAGCGTTTTTGAGTTTTATCCTTAAATGATGATAGCTAATAGAAGCGTATCCAGTCTAAAAATTACATATTAGTTTGAGTTCAGATATGTTTAGACTGAGAAACATTTTGGTTGTGTGCTAATTTTTATAATCAGTTTTAATTGCTTTAGGCCTTTAGGTACATGATTTTACAAATAGTGATTAAGAATACTTGCATTTTTAAATTATTTAGATTTAATACTCTTTCAAAGCAATTGTGATAAAAGCATATAACAATTTATAAAATCAACGGTTTTATGAACACTTACATTGCCATTAACTGCATTGCATCTTTCTCTAATAGAGACTTCATTACAATATCATAATCATTTTTTTATGAATAAATAGTTACATTATCTCACTTTGAGAATTAAAACTTCTTAGTACGGAAGTATATTTTATATAAAAAAGTTTCATTTTGGCTGTACATGAAAAATTGAAATTGTTTACAGTTCTTGTTATAGTCTGCCATACGACACGAAATCCTGACTTTGCCATACTGCTGCTTATTTTTGTAGATCTTTTGTAAGTCAAAAAGCCAGATTTAAGTTAATATCGCTCTGTCATATAAATTACAATTAATTAAATGCACACGGCAACAGGGAAATTAGAAGAAATTAAATTGAAATTAATTTGCGGCTTGTAGCTTAAATTGTACTGAGTCAGTTTTAATTGCAATATATCACGAGCCCAATTAATAAAATATACTATATATTGCTTTGAAAAAACTGCATGACAACACTTATAAAAAATATGAGATTTTATAAAAAATATGAATTTAAAATTTGTAAAAAAAGTTGAATATATTTATAATTATTAAATTAAAATTGAAAATTGTTTAAAAACGTTTATTAGTATTAATTTATTGTAAATTATATATTGTATATTGGGACTAATACAGGGTACAAATATAATTGAAATGATGTTACATGTTACCATTATACAAGTAGTTCTAACGTATTATATTTCAAATTAATTTAGATATGATAACTATTTGTTTATGGAAACCAAAACCAATGAATAATATTGTTATGTATCTAACCGAAAAATCACTTAAATTTTATAAAGACTAAATCTAAGTAACCCAAGAGTTTCTGGTTTCAAATCGCTTAATTAATTTATGTAATCTACATGTATGTATATATGTATAGTTTTAAAAACTTTGACAAATAAAAAAAAAATATTCATCATTTATAATGACACATTAGAGAGCACTTCAAAAATGTAGAATTGAGATCATATATGCTGAACCTTAAAATATGTTAGATATTATGCACAATATCTGAAGTTAGCTTCAGCCAATGGCATGTTATATGAGAGTACAGAAGAATAATGGATATGCAGAGGAATAAGTCAAGGTGACAGCGGTTTTCCAAATTTTTTACGCCCGTACCTGTATATGCCTTCAAAAAACTGAACTGGGAAACCAAAAGGATAAAAATTAAAAACATATTTTTAACCTACTTGCGGTTTGTGGATGATATGGTCTTAATAACTGATAATTTGCATGATGCAAAAGATATGCGAATGCAATTGAAGCAGATTGCACTTACTACTGGTTTACATCTAAAAAAAAAACAAAATTTATGACAAGTTTAGTAACAAGTGATAAACTTACAATGAAAAAGAATCTGTAAATAAATAAGGAGATGAGTGAGTATAAATATTTTAGGCATAAAAGTATAGTCGGTAAAGGTAACCAAACCCACAAAGTAAATCAATGGAATGGTTTGGATAGGCGCCGTTTGTTAAAATGACTGATATCTTTAAAACCATTCATATATTCATCTTAAAAGATAGCTATACGATCAGTGTGTGCTGTCAGTTATAGTGTATGGGTGTAAAAACTACAGTTTATAAGCAAGTGGCAGCTTAAGTGATAAACATAATCGAAAGAATAACCAAACTAAAGTGGCAATGGGCTACATACGTGATAACCATGACAGACAGTTGATGGACTTAATGAATTTTTTGAAAGCATGCCCAGGAAAGATAAGTAACAATTGGAAAACTGCTTCAAAATATGAAGCGATGATATTAAACAAAAAAAAATTTTTTGGAAAATATGTGGAATTCCAAATAAAGCAAAAAGGAAGTATTTAGAGGATGGTTATATTCATCAGTAGATTGTAAATGGTTTGGTTATGAATAATAAATTTAAAAACTAAAATTAAACGTCGAAGGAACTTTTAAAGATAAAATCCTAATTTTTTAATTCTTTTAATAAGATTATAAATATTATCGATTATCATTTTATCGATAATGGTTTTATTGCTTGAAGATTTTCTATGAACTTTTTACTAGTGTACTGCTGTTTGTTTTTAATTATTAATTTTTTTATTTTATTTATATATTGCTTAAATTAAAATTTGTTAATGGTGAACAATGAATTTCAAAAATAAACTGAAATGCAAAATAAACTTTTAAAGATAAAATGCTATTTTATTTAAATATTTTAATTAGATTATGAGCATTATCGATTATTACTTTATCGATAATAGTTCAGAGATTGTCTCTAAATTTTTAACTAAAGTACTGTTGTTTGTTTTTAATTATTAATTTTTTATTTTATTTATAAAATGCTTATATTAATATTTTTGATGGTGAACCATGAATTTTAAAAATTACCCGGAAATGCAAAAGGGACTTCTGCAAATTTTTAGCTAAAGAACTAAATTATTGTTGTTTATTTTTAATTATTAATTTATTTTATATAAATATAGCTTATATTAAAATTTGTTGATGGTGAACAATAAATTTCAAAATTAAACTGTCTTTAAAGGTACTTTTAAAGATAAAATGCTATTTTTTATAAATCTTTTAATTAGATTATGAGAGATCTACTGTGAAATTTTAACTAAATAAATATTTTTAGTTTTGAATTTATTTTACATATTTTTATATTTTTTAAAAGTATTAACTCAGGGCAAACTATTATGCAAACTGTTGTTATAAAATGTCCTATTAAAAATATGATAAATATTATCTTTATTTTTAAACAATAATTTTATTTATTCTCATTAAATAATTTTTTTATTTCAATAATTATATTGTTATATAAAAGAAGAAAATAATAAATCTAAACTTGAATATAACAGAACTTCTATTTTCAAAAGTTTCATAGTTCCTGCAACGCTTATCAAGTAAAAACACATACTCATCTATTTATCTAAGTACATTTCCACATTTCCACATAACTTCACAACTTCCCAAGAATTTTTTTAAATAATTGATGTTGACTCATTTATGTTGAATTGATATTTTTTGTTGCATTTTATGTTGTACACTCAAATTATTTGAAATGCACTCAAATGATCGGAGGTTTGTGTGCTCAGTTCAGAGAGAATTAATATTATTACAAAAATCTCAACAAACCAAAAAGAGAGAGAGCATTATCACAAATCATATAAATTGAAGTGTTTGAAGTGGATTTTAACAGTTCTGTTTCTGACTTTGAGACATAACAGTAAAGTTTGGGAGATTCAGTCGTCGTATAAGTTGTAAAATATATTAGTATTTTATTTATCTTCGTTTAAAATATTTTTGTTGTAATATTTAAATCTTAAATTTGTTAATTGCATAAAGCAAAACTAATCAAATCGGCCTGTAATGTCTATTAATTCTTGCACTTTGGTCGTCTGCCGTGTGACTAAAGCTGAAAAAAAAATTTTAAAACAACAACCAAAAAAACCATTTTTTATATATAAAATTACCAAATTATAAAAAAAGGCTCTAAGACATTTCTGTAATCAATCAAATTCTGTGAATGTTTAATAATCAACGCGTTCGTATAAATTTTAAACATTTTTGTGAAGTATTTAAAATAGCAATATATAATTAAAATTGCTAGCGAAATTTGCAAAAAATACGTGCTTAAAACTGTGTAATTAAATCTATCAAAATTTCGCCTTTAACAAGAACTGATTTCTTCAAAACGGAGCCCTTCATAGATTCTATGTCATTTTTAAATTCTATGTCGTTTCTATTCAATAAAAAAATACAAAAGCAACCAAGAGCCAACGGAAATAACTTTGAACTGATAAATTCATTTATAACGTAACAGTTAATTTAAAATTAAAAAGAAAAAAATTAAATTAACTGTAGCACCTGCGAACAAGTGTGCAAATTGTTAAGAACTTGATTGAGTAAAATAAAAAATTTATATACAAGTGAAAACAATTATTGTATATTCTTCTGTGCGAATTATATTCTTCAGTTTTTTAAAAAAGAAATCTTTAAACATTACCAATCTACGCAGAAAAAGAAAAAAGAAATCAAATGTAAGTTTCATATTTTTAAGAAAATCACATTTTTGAATTTATTTTTATTTCAATTAAAAAATTTGATTATTTTACTTAATTTATTTATTTATTTATTTAATTTATTTAGTTTATTGTTTTTTAAGTTTTATATATTATGTTATGAACATCATATTTTAATGGAGAAATCCGAATACCTGAGGTGAAATATATTGAAAAAATGCAACAATTGTCTGATGCAATTTTATTCAATAATTTAATAAAATTTTTTAAATATTTTTTTAATTTTTATTTAAAAGAATTTTATATTTTAATCTTAAGATTTCACTTTTAAATCATTCATTTCTTATTAGTTTGGAATTAAAAGAATTGCAAGTGTTCGCATCAATCATTAATACAGACAGACGAACGATACATTTTTTACGTCTCGTCTCATCTAAATATAAAACAGAAATATTAACGTCACATCCCAAACTAAATTAAAGGAAGATCGTTTCGATATTCTCCGTTAATTAAATGAAGAAATTCATTTTCGCACTACGATCAGTTTGCCTTTGTTTCTAAGCGTTTTTGTTTGTTAAAAAAAGATTATTAAATAATGAATTAAAAATTATTTAATCATCATAACGGCTTTTATGCTATAAGTTGTGAATAATATGAGCTGAAATTTTGAGTGGTTTCTTCTAATCAAATTTTACTGGAGGCATTGTGAATTTTTCTTTTCGTGTAAAAGGACGTGAGCTAAGTTACTCAAAACTATTGTGAATATTTGTAACTTTTGAGAAAATTTGCAAGTATGAGTTCTTTGATAATGAAGTAAAAGTTATATGATATTAAATTCTTTAAAAAAAAAAAATTTGCTTAAAATAATATGTTTAAAAATTAGTTTAAATAAAAAACTTAATTAAATTATGAATAAAAAAAAAAATTCAAAAGAAAATAATCATAAATAAATAATCATTTTCGTAAAATTAATACCGATTTTCTTTAATGATGCTTAAATTATAATTTTTTTATAATGTAAAAATGAAAACAAAATTATTAAATTAAAGAATTAATATTATTTAAAATGCTTAGTAAAATGAGTTTTAGATTTGATAAATTGTTTATAATAAATTTAGATAAATACATATCCAAACACTCAAGAAACCTTTTTTCTATTATTTATTGTCATATAATTACAATTTTTTTACATAAATATATTTAAACAAACAAACTAAAATTACAGGAATAATTTAATTAAATACTATATAACAATTAATATAAAAATAAAAATTTTTTTTTAAACTTTTATTTCACTTAAGCTTTTTTTTATTGATTATAAAAAATTTTTATATAATTTTTAACTTATAAGAAATCAGAATAACAGAATAAAGTAGATTTTTCTAACATTCATTTTTTTTTATTTATATTTTATTATAAAGTAAATAATATTTATTAATATCAAATTAGAAATAAATTAAAATTAGACTTTAGTGAAATGTTTTTATTAAAAGTAAAAACATAATACATTTTAATCAACAACTGAAGTTAATTATAAAAACCTAATATAAATAATAAATAAATTTTAACCAAATTGATAAGAATTATAATGATCAAATGATTATTATTATGATGATGATGATTTAAAAAAAAAGCTAAAAGTTTTGAATACTATAACGATATAATAATATTGATATAAATAATATCAATATAAATAAATTATTAAATATATTCTTATTTTATTTGGAAAACTTCAGTATTGAAAGCCGTTTATAAAGAATACCGTCAACATTTTTTTTAGATTAGAAATAAAGTATAGTATTTTTTAAATGTTGTTATAGTATTAGAAGGGATTTAAGTTAGTTTTTGTTGAGAAAAATATAGCACAGGAAAAAAGTATATAAAAATATAAAAATCAAAGATATAGGAAACTTGATTTTCACAATTTTAATTGATTTATATTAAAATTTTGGTTGAACATTATACGCTTACAAAAAAAAGTATTACAGTTCTCAATAGTTTCTTGCCGCTATACCTATAAATATCAGTGCCCGATAGACTTGTTTTAGTAGTTTGTAAACGACTGTCGATAGTAACGTAACCTCTTAGCTGATAAATAATATTTTATTTTTACAAATTTGGTAAACATAAAAGAATCTAATTAAAATTATCTTCATAATAAACATATAATAATTTAAAAACATCTCTTGGAATATAAAAATTTGAAATAAATTTTTAATTGAAAATTATAATTTTTAAATTTTTAATTTAATTTTTTATTATTATAATTTTCAATTAAAGTAGGAAAAAAAAATTATACATAAACTTATATTTATAATACAAACAAATATAAATAAATAACATATTAATAAACTTTTAAAAAATAAATTTCAAAGTAAAAGTATATGAAGTAAAAATATTTACAAAGAATATTTGATATTTCTTGATATATGATTGCAAATAAAAACTTTAATATAAACATTAATATTACATTAATATAAACATTATATTAATATATAATTTATGAAATAAATTAGATAAATAAATATTAATACGCTAATATATATATTTTAGCGAAATTAAGAGAAAAACATTTCTTCCTACTAATATTATAAAAATATTAATTTCAAATGAATAAACGAAGATATTATTTTATATATATATACATTATTTTAATATAGTATGTACATATACATTTTCACATACAAATATATAAAAAAAAATGAAAAATAATTGCAAATATATTCATAATCAAATATTTCAAATGTATATATACCATAACTAATTAATGAGAACGACGTCTATAACTTCAAAAATGACATTTAAATAAAATATATTATAAATTATGATAACGTCAAATCAAAACTGTATTATCTCGGAATTTTGGACATAAATCAATTAAAATTAAAATAGTATTTCAAATAAATTTTTTTCACTACGATTCACTACTCATATCCTGTTATCTATATTTGCTAATGTGTCACGTCGCACCCAATGGAATTTCTTATCATTTAATAACCACATCGTTGCTAAGAATAAGTTTCGCAGTGATTTCAGGCATATGTAATTATAATATTGCTATTATATATATATAAAATCTTGCATATTTATATATTAAATATATATATTAAATAATATACCATAGATTACTATACTAAATAATGGTAATAAATAATATTGTGCAAATTTTTTATGGCGAAATTCTTTTGAACTGAATTAAAAAATGTCATAAAAGACCACTGATAAGACCATCAGTGAAAAAAAAAATTCAAAGACCAAGCACGACATAACGATACAATAATCTTATCAGTTGGCACGCCTCTTTATGCCAATAGCAGCCTTGCTACTTTTCGCGTCTGTAGCAACAGCAGTCAAGTACAATACAACAATCAAATAAATGCCAATTAATTAAGGAGCATTAAACGATTTACTGAGTTCTTAATGGGTTTTTAATAATACTGCGATAGCTTTTATGTTACCAAAGTTGATTGAACTGAGAAAATACTTAAGATTTATTTTGTATTATGTTATATATTTATCATATTATATTGTGATATCACATCATATATTGCAATAATATATATCTAAATTATTTTTTTTCTTCTATTTCTTTTTAGACTATGAATGTACACGGGTTAATAATAGCGCTACTTGTGTTCGGCGCCGTAGCTGTGCACAGCCGTGCTATTGATGATGTCGACAATTCCATCGAGGCTAATAGCGAACAACAACAACAGCAACCACAGTCAAGACAAAATCGATTCGAACAGGATTGGATTAAATTTACTAAGCCACCTCCGTCCAAAGTATTTCAGTCTTTGGGCTCACCAGTCGAGATTGTCTGTGAAGTAATGGGCTCACAAATACCCACAATTAGTTGGGTAGTTGGCAATTTGCCCCTTTCAGAGGTTAGTATATATTAAAAAACTATTTATTTTTCTTACTGTTACTCATATAGCTACGAAAAGCAAAAGAAAATTTTTTTATATTATCCAACTAGTATTTTAAAAAATCACTTTATTTTATTCATTTTTTAGCTTGACAGCATGGAGTCCAATGTTATATCAGAATCTAGTCCTAGTGCCATAGTGCGTGTTCGTTCCGTACATATTGTTGATCACATGTTGAGTGAACCACGTACCTATACTTGCGTCGGTCGTACCGGACCAAAAACAGTTTATGCTTCTACTACAGTTTATCCTCAGAGCGATTTAAAAGATTTGGTACAAGTACGGGACAAACCTTTCGCAACAGCTCTAAAGCCAAAGATCATTTACAATGAGAAGCTACATTTGGATTTGGTTGGTTCAAATATTATGTTGCCATGTAAAGTGCATTCACGTCCACGTGCTGAGGTCTTCTGGATGAATGGCGAAGGCAAGCTAATTGAGCAAAACCATCGCTATAAAATTTTGCCTAATGGAGATTTGTTAATTTCTGACATTAAATGGGAAGACATGGGTGGATACAAGTGCATTGCACGAAACATTCACGGAAAAGATACAGCTGATACCTTTATCTATCCAGTACTTGTAAGTATATTGTTTTTTTATATAATTTTTTATGACAGTATTTTAATAACTTAAAGTTCAGTTGCGAGAAATTTTTTTACTTTGTTGCCAAAAATTGTTTAAAAATGTTAAATATAATTACAATATTTATATTATATCTTTACTAATTTTTACTAATTTAATTATATATTTTTTTATTTTATTTACAGAGGGAAGAAAGCAAACCTTAAGACGCTGTCACATTGGCAACAATTTAAAATTAAAGTTTCCTAAAGCGAATATGCTTAAAACTGTTTAGTACTTTAAATAGCCAAAAAATTCAGAGCTAATTAAATAGAAAATGATATCAAAAAATGAAAAAAAAAATTAATAAAAAATTAAGAAAAGTCAAAAAAAAAATATTAAATTTTTTTTTATAAATTTAGTTATTTAATAATTGTATTAATCACATTTACTAACAATTCCTCTAGGCTAAAATAATTTTCACTTCTGTTAGAAAAACTTATTTAATTTTTATAACTTTTCTTATCTCGTATCTAAGCACATATATGAAAATATCTACTACTAAATGTATTAACTTTTGTTATTAACTATTTAATTAATTTTTAAAATTAAATTAATTAAACTTTATTGCCTTACTTTACTCGAAATTTGAATTTTCACTTTTAATTATTTAAGACATTTAAAATAATATATAAATAAAAAACAAACATATAACCTCATAAATATGTACTAGTAAAAATATAAATTAAATATTCAATTAGTTGCTTATATACTTAAGAGTATATTAAGCCGAAATCGTATTAAGTTGGCCGTTACTTAATTTTATTTTAATTATTTTTAATTTAAATTAATTTAGTAATTAAATTTTTTTGCTGAAAGTCGCTTCACATCATTTTGTTTTCGTTTTATGTTGCATTCATTGTCAGTTTTTATATTATAATTAATTTATTTTGCACAAATTGTTAAAACCATTCAATTCATCACATTTATTTTATAATCTGTTTTTTATATTAATTTATTGAACAAAACAATTATTTATAAATAATGTATACCAAAATAATAATATTATTGTACTGATCAAACTAATTAAATGTTCAAATTAATTTACAATTTTCAAACGCTGTATACAATTTACAAACCACAAATTAATTAAAAATAAAGTTTTGAAATAAAGTTTAAAAATATAAAATGCTTTTCTATTTATTTGAAAATGGTTTAGGAAACAGAAAGGACATATAACTATGACGCTTTAAAACTCATGTGCAAATTGAAATTCTCTCCGATATTCTTTATATGAGTATATATACCATGTTGTTGTTGTGATGGTATAGAGAGTTCTAGTAGCAGATAATATTAAAGAAATTATAAATAGGAGTAATACATGGGTTAGGATATGATTGGGTAAGAAAACGGAATGGGTGGAAATATTATTTAAACTAGACTGGGAAAAACGTAGCCCGGTTTAGTTGCAATGGGACAGTGCCAACGACCAATTGGTGTTTGCATTAAGACATGAGAACAGATGGGTAAGGTCATAGGGAGTAGAGCTATAGTTTTGGTACACATTAGAAAAAATGCTTAGCATGTGGCTACATTTTGGTCTCAATTAAGCTAGGATACTTCTTTCTGCACGATTAAGGCAAACTTATTCCTGGAGATATCCAGCAGAAACCTGTTAAAAACTTTATTGCTATACAATTGTAGCTACGGAGGAGTATCAGCATCTTTATGGCTTATTTTTTATGCAATAGGTGTCAATATATAATTAACTTATTATTATACCATTATTCACACTCTTATGCGAGTAAGTTAGATACAGGGCATATTTGAATGCGAGAAAATATATCGATTTACATTTGTTATTCAGCGCTTGAACGTACTCCAATTGAGAGTGAAGAGAAGAGAATGAAATAAATATTGAAGACATTTGAAAAATGAAATTATCTCGTTACTTCATGATCACTTATCGTTGTTATTGTACACCTACGAGATATATATTACAGAAAACACAAAAGAAATTACAACAAACTAACACATAGATAAATATATGAATAGGGGTAAGTCAAAAAAAGAAGTTATGTGAAACTAAAAAAGAACCGCATGGGAAATAACGACATAAATGTTAATAAATATTAAATACTTTTTATAAAATATTTATTTAAAAAAACCAAACAACATTTTTTTATTATTCCATCATTTTTACATTTTTATTCAAATTTATATTTTAAACTAACAGTTCAGGAAACAGACTACAGGATGATTTTATACTTAATACTATGCAACAAAAAATATATCGATATAATGACAAATACTTTGACCATCTTGAGAGCCACTTGAATGCTCTAGCTTAGAATCTTTTCAATCTTTTGCAGAGATGCTGACGGTAAATCAGTTTCCAACACACACAGTTGTTGTAACATCTTCAAGTTACAGACTTATATACTGATTCTTTTTTTAAAAGATAGAACATTATCTGCTTCTTTGCAGGTCAATAAATTCTAATTTTAATGTAATATATACTATAATAAAAAATCAAATAAATATTCTCTGAATTGATCTCTGAAAAAGTGAAGTAAAAAAAATTGTTTAAAAAAAATTTATATAAAGAAGTAAAAGCTTACCGTATTTATGGAGCTCCAAATATATGACAGATAACCTGTTAGTTAGTTAGTTGTGATGTAAGGAGGATTGAATCCTCCTCAATTAGCTAAAGAAAGCCGTTTTGAATCCACAAATTCTCGTAATAAGTAGTAAAGAGAAGAAGAAGGGGCTCCCCAGAAACTTAAGCCCAGTTCTGGCTAAGCCTGGACATAGACACAGCACGTGTTCTAGTGTGCTAACTTTTCGGTGTTTTTTATATAAAATCCAATGTGCTATTGTTTTTTATTTTTTTATATAAAGTTATTAATTTTATACATCTATATAATTTTAAATAATTTACTATAATACAAAATTGATTTATTTAGTTCTATGCCATGTATTTTATATGTTCACCATTCAAAAATATTTCATAAAACTTATATCATTTTTATTTATTGCCATTACTTAATTCTTATATATTGAATAATTACAATAATTCAATAAAAAATTCATTTTTAAATATTTTCTTGGTTTTATTAGATATTTTCCTAATATTTAACTATACACCACTTTGCAGCTTTTATCGTAGGCTGTGATAGCAAAATCACCACAGAAGTAAGTTTTATAATTTATTTGTTGGTATAACTAGTCACAACACTTTTCTTTTTTTTTTGTTTATCCTATGCAGGTAAATAGGTTAAACGGCAGAGTTAATCGATATAATTGAACTTGTTTTTTTATTTGTGTCCGTTAGTTAGTAAGTAATGGCAACTAACCTTAAAATATTTTTAGGACCTAGGAGTAGTTTGCTCCTGGTTCTGGTTAGGCTGATCGGTCAGTCACTGAAAAACTGATGCAAGTTTACAACTGATTGAGTATAAATGACATGTAATATGTCAGGAGTTAGCGGAGGTAGTAAATATTAACCACATGTCAGTTAGGAAACACTTAAATAGTTCACTATAATATAAAAAACATGTGGTGGGTGGATGTTTGGACCACATGAATTGATGAAAATAAATTTGGTTGACCGAATTAACATCAGTGCAATGTTCACGTTGTTTAAAATGTAATATCAAATAAAAAACAACAAACATTGCATAATTTTATGCAATAAATATCGAAAACACAAAATTGTACTAACAACAACAAATTCTATTATCCATATATAATATATCCAAATTATTTGTGTGATCCACGTTCATTTGCATTGTATGCTCTCTCTTTAATATTCGTTCATAGACTTCGAATAGATGCATTATGGACAATAATCACAAATTCGGATATTCGAAGACTTCGAATTCAAAAGAAATTTAATTTTTTTCAAACTACGGATTGAATAGCTTTAGTTTTTCAAATATCCGAATAAAACAGCACTAGCATATAATTATATTTTGTTAGTATTATAGAAACATTAAAAAAAATTACTACTTTTTTGTCCAATAAATATGTATATAGATTTAAATGTGTTTGTTAAGAATACTTATTTAAATATATAATATATAATTTAATTTATAATAAAAAATTAATATCGATCATTTACTGATATATCGATTTATTGATATTTATTTTTAATTTCAGTGTATTTTACCTAGTTACAGAAATTACATTTTATAATTTATAAAAACCATTCAATTAAAATATTATCATAAATTTCATAATAAAAATATCAATTGACATCAAATTCTTTTAATTTATAAAAAAAATTAAGAAAAGACTCACCTTAAATATTACAGCAGTATGAGGTGAATTGCTCCAGTTTATTTCTTCAATTTGTAAAGAAAATTATAATTATATTATTATTATTGAATTATTCTGAATTATTTTTATGATTTTTATAAACATTACATTCACAAATTTTGAAATTAAACCACTATATATACATATGTATCATATAATATCATTTCAACTATTATCGCCTTTGTTTTTTTTTTAGTATAATTATTTCCACAGATGACTGCAGCAATAATACATTCACTTTGCGATTTTGTGGTAACATTTCATTTTAAGAATAAAACAAAAAAAACAGCTACATAAAATTTTGTAATAAGAACAACATAAAAAAAAAATTGCATCAATTAATCTCACTTCATGAAAACAAATAAAAAAAGCATACAAACTTGTTTGGAAGTTTATTATCAACATATATAAATTTAGTGTATGAATGTAGACTTAAACCATTCTAGTTTTATGTTTTAACAATTTGATTTTTTTTATGGTATTCATTTTTGGTACATTTAAGCAAATGCGCCAGGTTCAATTTTTGTTTTAGTCATGGTATCATAATTGTTATATGAATTTATATTAATATGCTACAATAATATATTTATATATTATTTTCACTATTTTATTTCATTATATTTAAAGTATTAGTGTAAATAAAATAAAATAATTTTATTTCTTTTGCCGCATAACAAAATTTCAATGTGTAATATTATTGCGCAAATATGATTGATTTTTCTTTGTTTTTATTAAGAAGTATTAATAAAATATAAAACTTATATTGTTTAATTACAATTATAAATCATTTTGAAACTTTTATAAACTTATTTAAAGCAATAGACATTGGGCGAAAAATGCAATTACATAAATCACTAATTAACGCACTTACTCCTTTGTTAAAACCGAACTGAATTACTTATGCTAAAATAACCTGTAAATGCAATGCAAAAGGAAAACAGAAATCAAAAGCATATCTCACCTTAAGCTTAGCGTGATTGATATATCAAACTCAAACTGTGGTGAAATTGTTTAACTCAACCCCCCACGCAAAGAGAAATGAAATGTGGGTTAATATCAATATGGTACTATTTTTGATATATATTATGCATGTACTGTACATACATACTGAAAAACATGAATATTTTATAATTTTAATTATATTAAAAATAAAATAATTGAAAAGTTTTTAAAAACAAAATTATTTAATAATTCTTTCTTCTTTATT